GGAAAATTTTCTGAAGAAGGGTCTAGGCCCGAAACGTCAGCTTTCCTGCTCATCTGATGCTGCTTGGCCTGCTGTGTTCATCCAGCTCTACACCTTGTTATCTCAGTATATAACCACTGTTATTTTTATGTATTCATAATATACACAATTATATTTCCTCAGCAATGCTCTAAACCCATTTATAATATTTATCAGTTTGCACATCCACAAATGCAGTTATTTGTTCATATAGTTTATTAATTTATATCTCATTGCTAATCTCTGTTCAAAATTGGAATTATGGAACTTCTGTATAATGAAGTAATGAGAAGGTATAGCTGCAATTTTTGAGTTAAGAAGCCATGCATCTCTTTTATGCCATTTGTTGAGTTTAAAGATGCCCTGATTGATCAATATGTATTTCAACTGATGTGGAAATATTTTCGATCACCATTACAGTTCACGTTTTTCTTCTTATACAGATATGTGACTGCCCACACATAACAGCACTGAGTTATAAGAAATTGCTTACAGAAGACTGTGGGATGTCCACCATGAGCATTTCAATACCACTCAAATCTTTGCTACCCAGGGTCTCTAAATTCTGCCAGCCACCATTTTCCTGCATTCGTACTGTGAATGTGCACAACTAATAAAGCACATGTGACTTAATTTACTACACATCAATAATTCCACTGAGATATAAAACTTCTATTTGTGATCTTCCACACGCCTTCACCCCCAAGCACTATCCCCCTCCCATTGCCCTACAATATATGTAAGAAAATATATTCCATTGAAAGGTTCAAACAGGAAATCAGTTACTTTTTTTTTCAACTTTGCTATTCCCTAGGTATTTGAATTCTTCACACCTCAGATGTTGCACTTTGAGCATTGAATCTGTGATAAAGAATGAAAGTCAGTCATTTTCTGCTGGTTTCTGACCTTCAGGAGAATCTAAGGATTTACTGTCGGCTATCAATTTAGAGCAAAAGATACTTTGATTGTCTTCAGAATGTGCCTATGAGGAAATATTGTTAAAATGGTCACAAAGCATGCAGTGAATGGGCTCTAAAGGAAAACCATTCCAGTTTGGCAGAATACCATCTGCTTGTGATAATTCAAGCATTTTGCACTAATATTTAGAAGTATTAGAATTTGAATTAAGTGTAAAACTGGAGTAGCACAACTGACCTTGTATAAAGAAAATTACATCCTGTAACTTGATCCTAAGTGGTAGCAACCTGCTAGTGAATTAAATACTGCTGAATGTGTCATGGTTCTTTGGTTCTTATTAATCGTATTTCAAAATATTTTTGAAAATTGAAAGCATATTTTCAGAAAGAATTTTGTCTAATGTTTGGAAAAAAATTTGTGTTGTAAGTTAATACTCATGCAGTGAACACATACTATTTTTTCTTTTAATTGTTCAATACACTAAAACTTAGGAAAAATATAAAGTAGTCTTTTCTCTTTGTGGGATCATTTGCTGTTATTGGTTTCATTTATTTGAATTTTTAAGTTATTTCAGAATCACTTTTACTCGTGCAAGTTGTGCTACAAAGGAGTTAGTGAGTGTTGTCTTTATAGCTGATTTCTTATACAACTAACTAAGCACTTAACTTCCTTAGTTGTGAGTATATGTAGTTAAAGTTTCCAATTTCCAGTAAGTTACAAAGCTTAGATTCCAATTTGAAACTTAAAACTTTGAAGGGACTAAACATCATTGTAGAATTCAGTTGGTCCTTTCTTTCCTTTAAGAAGTAATGTGTGTGCATGTAGTGTTTCACATCCTCACAGCCTTCTTAATACTTTTTGAGTGTAATTACTTGTTATTTAAGCACCTTGACTGAGGGACAGGACTTAACTTGAAATTTCACTTGAAAATGGCTCCTCCAACGATGCACCACTCTATCAGTAGTGCATTAAAGTGTTGTCGTGGATGACATGCTTAAATCCTGGAGATTGTTTGAAACCATGATTACTTGACTTAGTGGTGAGGGTGCCACTTTTATGCTAATCTTCCATTTAAGTCTTTAAGTAACACTCCAACGAGGTCTTTTCTTATTTTTCAATTGTTTGCAAAACAATATGGTGTCTCTGTACAAGATCATAGAATTCCTACAGTGCAGGAAGAGGCCATTTGACCCATTGAGTCTGCAGTAATCCCGTGAAGTGCATCCCACCCAGCCCTGTAACCCCATTTGGGGTTTTTACTATGGTTAACCTACCTAACCTGCACATCCCTGGACACTACAGTGCAATTTTTAGCATAGCCAATCCCCTTAATCTGCACATCTTTGGACTGTGGGAGGAAACTGGAGCACCTGGAGGAAACCCACAAATTGAACCCAAGTTGGACAGTGAGGCAGCAGTGCTAACCACTGTGAAACAATGCTGCCCTTTCTAATGAAATATTTTAGTGCATCCGAGATTTGTTCTAGCATTGCATGTTTGGAATAAATGCTACAACTATGTCCATTTCAAAGTTGATAAATATTTTATCAATTATTCTGTGTAATATTTTGGGAATGAGTAATAATTGATTTAGTAGATTCTGGAGGCTTGTCATCTTCAGAAGCCGGGAATACATACGTAATTGGAGTGCCATTGTAAACCCCACAGAAATCAAGGATAGGACTCCTTACAGCTTATGCATTTATTTAGAGAATGGATGCTACAAAATAAAATCATAATCAGCAGTTTTTGAAAAAATCATTATTTCTGTTCCTGAACAACCTATATGGGTCAATATGCTGTTTGTGTGGCAAAACATGTTATACCCTTTTAATCAACAAGTCACAATTCGGGAAATAACCTTTCGAACAGTATTGACTGATCTCTCGTTCGAATTCCTCCATGTTGTCTTGTAGGCCTGTTGTAACAAGGGAAGACCCTTAATGAAAACAATTGGTGAGGCTTAGACCTTCTTTTGATCTTTTGTTTTCTGGGGTAAAATACCACTTTAGAATCTCACAGTTGTGGCTCCCTCGTAAAGAATAACTCCTTATTTTTATGATAGTTGTCAATGCCTATGGAACCCTGCCCCAAATTCAATTTCTTCTCTTAAGAAGAGGAAGGAGAATAAAGTTGTGTAGCAATTGACATAAGAAAAGCTAAGTATGAAAAGAGGTAATTTAGCCCACCTAATTTTATTTTGCTAATATTCAAGTTTTTTCAGTATAGTTTTCAAATACAGAAAGCAGAGTAGTTGGAATAAATGCAACATTCTCAGATTGATAGGCTGTGACTAGTTGGGCACCAAATAGATCAATGCTTAGCGCCCTGGCTTCACATTCTGTTTTAATGATTTTGAATTGGGAATTAAAGGTGATATTTCAAAGGTGATGCAAGTTTAAGTGGGACTTTGTTTTCCTCTATTCATTCATGTGGGATGTGGGTGTCATTGGCTTTGTCAGCTTTATTGCGCATTCCTATTTGTCCAGAGTCAACCACAATGCTTGGGGTCTGGAGTCACATATAGATCAAACCAGGAAAGAATGGTAGTTTTCTTCCCTAAAGGACATTAGCGAACAGATTATTTTTCCATCAATTGACAAAGGATTCATGGTAATCATTAGACTCTTAATTCCAGATTTTTTTTAACATTCAAATTCTACTGTCTGCCATGACGGGATTCAAACTCAGGTCTCCAGAACTAGGTCGCTGGATTAATAGTCTAGTAATAATACCATTCGGCCATCACCAGTGTGTTGTGACGATGATGCAAAGAAGGGGATTTGCACAGACTGAGTGAGTGCCCAAGAGCATGGCATGTGGAATAAAATATGGATGTATATGGTAGGAGGAATGGAGGTGCAGATTATTTTTTAAATGATGAGAGATTGATAAGTTGGTGTCCAAAGGGACATGGGTATCCTTGTTCATAAGTCACTGAAAGTTAATATGGAAGTGCACCAAGCAATTAGAAACTGAAGTGGGATGTTAGCATTTCTCATAGGAGGATTTGAGTTCAAGAATAATGATGTCATGCTTAAATTATATAGAAGCTTCATGAAACCACACATACAGTATTGTGTGAGGATTTGATCCTCTTACCTAAAGAAGGATATACCTTCCATAGAGGGAATGCAGTGGAGGTTCATTAGATTAGTTCCAGGGATTGTTGGACTGTCCTATGAAGAGGAATTGGGAAGACTGGGCCTGTAAGATTGAGAGGTGATCTCATTTAGACATTTAAAATTCTTAATGAATTTAGACAGATTGAATGGGCATAACAGGCCCAGTGCAGTAATAATTCTGTGATTCTACAAGACGTCCCTTAACCACCTGCTGCTACAAATGAAGGGATTGAATTTTGTAAATGTTTCCTCAAACTTGGAATCATTTCCATTGGTGTTCTCTATATTTTCTACACTGCTCATAAGGTTTTTCAATATTATGTAACAATACCTTTCTGCCAAACCAAGTCCATAAATATTTGTACATTTGTATACAAGGAGAATAAATTTAGGTGGGCTAATGTATCTTGCTTCAACGTTGGCTTTTCTTACATCTGTTGTTACATTGCATTTATTTCTTGATTTCTTTTTTTAATGGAACAAATTGAGTTAAGGTTCCACAGGCATTGACAATTTGGGTATATAAACTAATTATACTAGGTTTTTGAGTAATGTCTGTCAAAAGTGTAATGCTTGTGATTGTTGGAGGTTGATAATTACAGTCACAAGACATAACTATAAAGCTCCTTAGAACAGTATCCTAGACCCAGCCTCCTTCAGCTACTTCATCAATGTCCCATAAAATTAGAAGTGGAGATCTTGCACAGTGTTCATCATTATCTGCGACTCGTCAGTACTGAAGCAGTCCATGTCAATGTACTGCAAGATTTGGATAATGTTCAGGCTTGGACTGATAAGTGGCAGGAAACATAGCGAGAAATCTCTGCTGGGTCATGGCCATTTCAAACAAGAGAGAATCTAGCTATCTCCATTTGGCATTCAATGGTGTTACCATTGCTGAATCCCCCACTCTGAACATTCTGGGAGTTACTATTGACCAGAAGCAGAACAGGAACAGCCAAATAAATACTGTGGCTACAAGTACAGGTCAGAGTCTGGGAATTCTATGATGAGTAACTCATCTCCTGACTCACCAAAGTCAGGCCACCATCTACAAGAGTCGTCAGGAATGTGATGGAATAGTCTCCATTTGTCTAGATGAGTGCAGCTCCAGTAACACCGAAGAGGATTGTCACCATCCAGGACAAAGCGGCGTGCTTTGTCATCTCATCTATTACTTAAAACATTCTCTGGCTCCGCCACCAAAGCATATTGGCAACAGTGCAAATTGAATAGGAGATGCACTGCATCAACTCATCAAAGTCCCTTCCACATCTGTGATCTCTCTCATCTAGCAGCACAGTGGTTTAGTGGTCAGCATTGCTGCCTCACAGCACCAGGGACCTGGGTTCGATTCCACCCTTGGGTGAATGCTTTGTGGAGTTTGCACGTTCTCCCTGAGTTTGTGTGGATGCTTTGAGTTTCACCCACAATCCAAAGATATGCAGGTTAGGTCAATTGGCCATGCTAAATTGCCCAAAAATGTCCATAAACATGCAAGCTAGTTGGATCAGCCATGGTAAATGTGGTATTATGGGGAAAGGCTGGGATGTTTGGGTCTGTGTGGGATGTTGTTTGGAGGATCAGTGCAGACTCGATGGACCAGATGGCCTCTATCTGCATTGTAGGGATTCTGTGAAATACATCTATAGGGGTTGTCCAAGAACACTAAAATCTTCGAGCAAGCTGAGCGGTCATTCACACAAAGAAGTATCTCGGACAGCAAATCATAATGATTGTCATTCAGTTTTTAATTGAGAGTAAAATAAAGATTGAGCATACTGGTGAGATTAAGGTAGCAACTGAAGTATTATAAACAAAAGTTAGTTTTTCAGTGATAGAGAGGTATTTCAGTAATTATGATTTACATGTCATTAAAACTCTTTAGTTGCACCTTCAGAATGCTGCTGATATTTAAATTGCACCATCCAAAGAAATGAAGAAGAGAATTATTTTGTGGATTGTGAATTTGTTACATGATTTAGATGAAGGTGAGATTGGAGAAGTATCAATGGGGGTACATTGATATTGGAGACATTTTATTGGCACTCATTGCTACCTCTGGACCAATGTTTATAGACCCTTACACAGTCTTGTTACAGGAGACTTATCCTTGCCACATTTGCTTCACAAAAAAGAGTTTATTGCATTGTGACTGTCAGACACAGTTTCGATCAGAGATAACTCCTGCTTGACTCATTGAGGCTACTAAAGTTTTCATCACAGTTTTCATTCTATCAAACCTTCAACCTTTCCACATAAGACTTTTGCAATGCATACAAATATCGAGCAAATTGTAAATGCTGTTTTTTCAGCATGACCCCTTAATTGTTTTTTCCGTGGAACGAAGTATAATTTGGTGCTGAATGTACACAAAGTGACAGTTTTCAATTGAAAGGTCTCACGAATGGCATCTCTAAAGACATCATGGTTCTTCATTCCACCCTCTTAGCCAGTGTAAATGGGGGTTTACATCAGTTCATTTCAGATAGCATATGCCCACAAAAACATAATTATTTACATGAATGGCTCTTAACTAGGAAGCAGATTTGCCTCACTATGTGGTAGCATAGACTACGTACAGTTTTGCAAGCAAAAAATACAATTGGAAAGTCATTCTAGGGCAAGGAGACTAGTATCTGCATCCACAACTGGTGATTCTGCTCAGAAGTCCCTGAATGACAGTAGAAAACCTTTGGCTGGAAGCCTAAATATGTGTTCACTATACTCTGCCTTGCAGCCTTGGCACAGTGCAAGGATGTGTGCAATGTAGTATTAGTAGTGAAGATATTAAAATTATGTATCTCAAAGATTGTTCTTATTTGCAACATCGTTTTCTGCCATAATCTGAGTCCCATGAGTGATGCCTGCAAACGTGAGGAACAAGTCTCTCATTGCGCTTTCCTGATACGTTCCCTGTTTTCAGTTACATACAAGAGACCTGGAAGAGTGCATTGACTTGGTTGGTGACCTCCCATCATTTATCCAGTACCTGTGTTGTTCCTGATGTGTTACAGTCAGCTGCAAATAGACCATTTACTTTTAGTGCAAACCTGCAGAAGCAAAAGGAGCATTATTGCAGCCATATCTTGAAACCTACGACAGCTCTTTCCTGTAATGAGCAACTGCTGTCTTGTCAGGTTTGTGCACCCTAGTCCAAAATGTTGCAATTCGTTGCACATGTGCTGTGTACGATCAACCAATACAAATTAGGGGAGGAGTTCCAGAGTTTCCGTACCACATTTAGCATTGCCGCATCTGTTTGCCAGTATCAGTGAGTTTATATTATATGCCACCCTGGCCTGTCTAGGAAAATTAACATTCTAATGTCAATGCTAAATGGCACAGTTGCAGGATTCAGTTTTAATGTCGCTAGACTTTTTTTCTTGCACCTCTACAAATTATCTAGGGTACCAATGCCGGCTGGTGGCTAATTTTCAGGCATCTGCCAGCTGTGAACTTCATTAGGCTGCCAAGAGATGGCACTAACTCAACCATATTTCGCCATTCCCTTTATATTTGCATTTGGTTTTATTTTTCTTCACAATCTTCCCTAAATAATATCAGAATCTGCAAGGAACGTGTGAAATATTATCTGATTTTGTTTGAGTACATATGTGTTCTAACTACAACATATCTAACAGAATAGAAATGGATGAAGGTCTAATTTTCTTGGCAGAGGTTACTAAACAATGACCTTGTGTTTCTTGAATTTAGATTTGATGTAAGGACCAGCAGACCATCTCTGTGATGTAGAGTGGATGGTTGTTTTGCATTTTTAAGTGCTGTTCTTGCCTTTGAAAGTAGTAGAGTATTCATCTAGTAATAAAGGGTCTAGGCCCGAAACGTCAGCCTCTCTGCTCCTATGATGCTGCTTGGCCTGCTGTGTTCATCCAGCCCTGCACCTTGTTGTCTCTTCATCCAGTAATGTTGGGTAATTTCAGTCCCATTCATGCATGCAGCAATACTGCTCAATTCAAGGGAAGTACTTGTGCAAAGTTAATAATATTAAAATGATGATTTTTTTATTTTAAGGTCAAGGTTAAGGTGAAGCTAGTTGGGTTAAGCTTTTAGTGGTAAAACTGCATTTATTACTTTTAGTGAAAGCCCTTGTTGGAAAATAATTGTGGAATATTTTGCCACTTGGGTAGATATACCAAATGTAAAGAAAAATATCTTATTCTTGCCAGAGAAGCAGAAAAACATTGCAAACTCCAGTACTGAATCTGTGATCATCCCTACTGTGAATGCTTCATCGAATTCTAAAACTCATCGACAAAGCGTGCATAGCCTTGGCTGTTGTGACACTGAAGCTTCTGCAGTGAAATTGGAACGACCCAATTCTCTGTGAGTACAGCAGCAGCTTACATTATTTGCTGATTTCTGTGAAACAAAATGTAGACCGATAGAGCAATAAGAATGTCTCTTCTATGGACTAACTGACAACTTTTCTACCATGCATATGTCTAAATCCATGATAATTGCACAGGTGATTCAGACTCCTTTAAAATTTGTAATTAAACTTTTTAAAAAATATTTTGATTTGAGTACCCCTTTTATGTTTCAAAAAGAATAAAATTGCTCTGACTCAATAGGGTAGAACTGAGTGCAAAATGGATCATAGTAAGACGGACACTGTTGGATGCATCGCCTAGTATTCACTTTTTGGCTTCACTAGATCTGGTAAAGGGGCAGTTACTCTAAAAGGCAGCAAACAGAATACCCTTAATATGCCCATTTTGTCACTGTATTTCTGTTTTTAATGTACTTTGTTCTGGTCCCACACTTCACACAGTCCCATTATATTTTTATTATGACATTGTAGTATCCCAGCAGACCACAATGATTTTCTCCTACCCTTTTCATTTACAAAAATTCTGGTATCTCTAGTATACGGTGAGTGGCAAACCTTGAGAAATAGCCGAAGGGAGGGGAAAGAAATTGAACATGGTTCAAACCATGGAGCTTACCTTGCTTATCTCTCTTGTATTGAACGTTAACTAAGACTTGACATTACTGACTGGGTTATTGAACAAATTCAATGTGCGCTGGGATGGTGAATTTCAAAGACTAGTCACTTTTTTAGGAGATTAAATTCCTCCTCGATTCTATCTTAACTGGAAACCTCTTATTTAGAAACTGTCCTCTAGTCTTCAATTTACCCAAGAATCATAGAGTCGTGCAGCATGGAAACAGACACTTCGGTCCAACTCGTCCATTCCGACCAAGTTTCCCCAACCTAAGCTCATTCCACTTTCCTGCACTTGGCTCATACCCCTATAAACCTTTCCTATTCATGTGCCTATCCAAATGTCTTTTAAATGTAGTTACTGTACTGGGATCTACCACTTCTTTTGGCAGTTCGTTCCATATATGAATCACCCTGTATGAAAAGTTGCCCCTCAGAACCCTTTTAAATCTTTCACCTCTCACATTAAAAGTATGCCCCCTACATTTAAACTGCCCCACCCAAGTGAAAATATCTTTGTTATTCACCTTATCTATGACCGTCATGATTTTATAAACCTCTATAAGGTCACCCCTCAACCTCCTATGCTCCAGTGAAAACATTTGCAGCCTATCCCATAAGTCAAACTTTTCAGTCCTGGCAACATCCTGTAAAATCTTTTCAGAACCCTCTCCAACTTAATAATATCCTTCTTATAGCAGGACAGTACTCCAAACGTGGCCTCCCTTACGTCCTGTACAACATGACGCCTCAATTTGGTGGAATCTGGCCAGGATTTCAACCAGTGGTGGTTGAAGTGTCCAGGGTTCGATCCTTATGCAAAATTGTTCTCTGGAGTTCTGTTGTAGGTGGAGATCTGGTGTTGATTCTTATACAGATTTTCATCCTTCAGGTCTTTGAGGTGAGGGGTAACATCCACCCAGCATCTACTTTGTCAAGCTCTCTCAGAATATGTTTTCGTAAGATCTCTTGCTCTTCTGAACCCCAGTGAGTTTAGGCTCAATCTGTGCAATCTCTCGTCATAAAGCAACCCCTTCAATTAAGGAATGAACTGAGTGAACCTTCTCTGAACTGCCTCCAGTGCTGCTGCTTAAATGATGAGAGCTAAACTAGTATGGCCTAACCTGTACTCTTATAACAAGGGCTACCTACTTTAATATTGTATTCCACTTCTAAGAAAGGTCAGTATTTTATGTACCATCCTAATTACTGTACCTGTGTGCTAACTTTTTGTAATTCATGTGCAAGGGCAATAAGATCCTGCTGTGCTGCACGATTCTTAAGTGAGTGCTTTAACCAATAGGAGTTTGTCTGTTTTTCTGACCTAAGGGGATAATCTCTCATGTTCTCACATTATGTATACTCCATTGCTAAATTTTGCCCACACACTTAAACTACCTATATCCCTTTGAAGACTTGGGTCCTCCTCACAAAATGCTTTCCTTCCAATCTTTGTATTGTTTTATTCTATGGCATGAAAGAAATCTTGAAGGAGAATAAATACAGTTCCAGTATACTGCATTCCCAAACACTGTTAAACTTCCATCCAGCATTCAGTAGAAGGGAAAGAGCTTTGAACTTTGAGAAAGCAGTTGAGTATGAAAGACAGAAGTGTGTGGAGTTCAACCAGAACAGGAATGATTGAAATTAGGAATTAGGAGTGATAATAAGCTATTTAGCCCTTCAAGCCTCTTTGCCATGTAACATGATCATGACTGATCTTATTCTGGCCTCAACTCCACTTTCCTGACTGCTCCCGATAGCCCTTTATCCCATTTTTCATCAGAAACATATCTATTTCTTTCTTGAATCTATTAATTGACTCTGTCTCCACTGCACTCTGGGGCATTAAATCCCACAGATTCAAAACCCCCTGAGAGAATTAGTTTCTCCTCATATAAGTTTTGAACTTACCTCCTTTCATTCTATAACTATGACCACTTTTTCGAGACTGTCCCACAAGGGGGAGCATCTGCACAAAGTCCATTTTATCAATCCCCTTTTGCATTTTATATACCTCAATCAGATTCCCCCCTCACTCTTTCTGAGCTCCAGTAAGTACAAGCCCAAGCTATTCAACTGCTGCTCATAAAACAGCCCTTTTCATTCCTGGAATCAATCTGGTAAACATCTTCTGAACTGCCTCCAGTGCTACCACATCCTTCCTCAAGTAAGGAGACCAAAACTGGACACAATTTTCCAGGTGTGATCTCACCAATGCCTTATTTAATTGCAACAATGCTACTTTACTTTTATAATCCAATTTTTTTGCAATAAATGCCAGGATTCCATTTGCCTTTCTGATTATCTACTGCACATGCATGCCCGTTCTCTGTGATTCATGCACAAAGACTGTTCCTCCTGCACTGACACACTTAGAATCTGCTTTCCTTTTAAATAATAAATTTCCTTTATATTTTTCTGGCCAAAGTGGACAACATATGGAAGAAGAGAAGAGCGATAGTATTGACCAATATTAATTCTCACATAGATCAGACTAAAATTAATGGAATGGAGCCCACATTTTAGAACGCATTTGAGACTGTGTTTCCCCAGCAGTATGTTTTTCATCGAACAAACAAAGAATTATTGCTTGATTTAATTCCAGGAAATGAAGTGAAATTTCTGTCAAAGTGAATGCTAAATTCTAGCATATAATGGCCACTGTTTTCTAGGGGATCTTTTACTATGACATCATTTTATCGAAACTATCTCTACTCATCGCCATGTCCAAAGTAGCCTGATCCCTGGTTGGGTCCACAATTTATTATTCTAGGAAACTGTTTGGAATGTACACTACAAATTCTTCCCCATAACTGTCTCTGTCAGTCTGACTATCCCAATCTATATGAAGATTAAATTCAGCCATGATTAATAGACTGCCTGTTTTACATACCCTCATTAGGTCCTGATTTATTTTCATTCATACTATATAGTTACTGTTATGGAGCCAATAGTCTACTCCTACCAGAGTCATCTTCCTATTTTTATTTCTTAGCTCCACATAGATTGTACATTTTCTCATCCAAGACCATTTCTTGCTATCAGACATATTCCATCCGACGATAATAATAGTACTCCACTACCAGAGTTTCTTCTAAGCCACATGGCAGTGCCCGCACAGCCACTCCAAGGTTTCACACACAGTGAATGGCATCGATATGCTGATTGCGGCATTGACTTCCAGTTCCAGAAGTCGCTGCCCTGCATGGACCACGAAGGCCCACACAGCCAGGAAGGAAATGAGAGGAAAGGCTGCCCAAAACCCTGTCCTTCCTGCCTATCTTTTCAAAAAGCTACATAGCCCTAAATATTTAGTTGCCGGCTTTGTTCTCTTTGTAACCATGTCTCCCTAATGACTATAAAATCATACCCATTTACTAGGCTTTAATTCACTTATTTTGTTCTAAATACTATGAGCATTCACGAAAAGAGCCATTAGCCTTTTACCATTCTGCCCCCCTCATCCCCAACCCTTTTATTGCTGGTTTACTGTTTTTGTATACTCTATCACTTACTGTCTCACTGTGGTATCATTATCAAAATAGCTGTCATGGAAAACTGCCATATCCTTTTGCTTTTTGAAGCCTATATTTCTCCTTTCCCAAACCAAGCTGCCAATTAGTTTAAAACCCTCTGTACTGATTTATTTATTCAATTCACCAAGTCCCAGCACAGTTCAAGTGAAGTGTGTACCATAGACATAGGAGAAGAAATAGTCCATCCAGCCCATTGAGTTACTCTGCCATTCAATGAGAGAACAGGAATAGCTCTCTTCTACCCTAGAACTGCTGCCAATGCTCCACAAACTGAAACCCATTCCACCTGCACAGATTTCTGAGCCACACACTTAATTTCTTGACTTTATTTACCCAGTGCCAGTTTGCCTATGGCTCAGGTAGTATTCCAGACATTTTTACCTTGGAGGTTCTGCTTTTTAATTAGCTCATAACTGTTCAAAATCTTTAATCAGAATCTCCTTTGAAGTCCTATTATTTAAAGGCACTCCTTAAGGGGCATTTTTTTTTTGGTGTCATCTGATTCAGGTAAGTTTTAGACCCTGACCCATTTTGAAAAATCTGGAATATCTGCCAGCAGAAGGAAACAGCTGATTTGAGTCACATGATTTGAAGTAAACCAAATGTAATGATGGTCTGTGTGGTTAATCTGTTTGTATCAAGCCCTGCCATCTGTAAAATGATTATTTGTTGATTCTTCCCAGGGCTGTGTGGTCAAGTTATGCAACTTTATCAGCTAGATTCCGCAAAAGGTGAAAGGAGAATGATACATAGTACAGTTTCCTTATACGGTGCTGCAATTAATAAAATATTTTTAAAATGTGAATCATATCCCTTTGGTGAGGAGGGGGAAGAGAGTGAAAACCCATTTATTGATTTATTGTTGTTCCCTTAATTAAATTACAAAGCACTAATCTTGCACAATTTGCTTGTTTCAGTGATGTGTATGGGAAAAGGGAAAAACAACAAATTCACTGTATGCTGCAGCTATTTTGGACATTGCTATGTGTATGCTATCTAATTTGCGTTCTCTTAATCTAACACTGTGGTTACCTGAATGGCTTTCTAATGGGCTATTGGTCATTTTTCAATGCATCATGAACCTATATTGTGCAGGTTATGATTCTAAGAAGAACTATGAAGGAGTCGTAATATTAAAAAAACGGAAATGTTACTCAACAGTTTTGATATGGTTTAACTGTTTCATTCTTGACTATAATCTACAAATTTAATTGGTACAAATTTTTAGAAGATTACCAGTCCCTAAACCTGCTGACAATTCCACTTGTAACCAGTTTAAAGATATTTTTCATCTGCCACAGCTCAGTATGAGTGTTTCTATTTTATTTTGTGAGCACCCTCATCATTATGAGAAGTGATCAGTGTCTTAAACTGTTAAATTACCACCTTATTGTTTCAAAAAGTATGAATTTGGAAATTGCAATTTCTAGTATTTTGAAGACCTAGGGTGTATAATTTAGGTTAGTATTCTTCAAGAAACAGTCCAGTCTCAAGTATGTCACTGTAATAACAACAAACTTTATTTATATAGCACCTTTAGCGTTATAAAAGGTACCAAGGCACCTCACAGGAATGTTGTAAAACAAACTATGGCATTGAGGTATTTAAGATACTATGTGGATGAACAAAAAATTTATCAATGAAGTAATTAAGGAATAAACCAAAGGAGGAAAGCAAAATAACTGAAGATATACCCTCATATGATAGAGCAATTAAAATGAGCTGTGTTCAAGAGGCGAGAACTGGACAAGTGCAGATCTTAGACGGCGGTAGATCTGGAAGAAACTGTGGTGATTTGGAGGGAAGAGCCACTGGTGATTAGGTAGAGAAGAGTCTACGGTGATTAGGAGGTGCAATGGCATGGAGCGATTTGTTCAACAAGAAAGTGAAAGCTTTAAAATTGAACTGCTGCTTAACTTAGCGGCAATATCGGTCAGTGAGCACAGGCATAATGATAATACTGGACATTACAGATTCCAGACTGAATCCTAGCTTGTTGGATTCTAATTTTTTAGATCTTAACTGTGTTTTTAAACAAGAGGCTGCCAATATACTTTCAACATTATTAATATCCCAGTTAATGGTAATATTGAATTAGTCAGACCAAATTAAAGCCTGGCTTAAATAGACCATAATTTTTATTTCCCAATTTGGTTATTGTGACCTTCAGTCACTAAACACATGCACATAAAGCTGCCAAAGTACCTTTCATGAAAAGACCCCATGTTTATAAAACAAAGTTCTATAGTATGTAAAATAGCCTGGAAAGATCATATGAATGGCAAAAGAAAGATTCAGTCCTTTTTCCCAGCAATATCCTTTATAGATACTGGAGCCCAGTGAAATATTATTTCATCTTCACTCTAACTTCTTACTCAACTGATGAGGTTGCATCCATTTCCATTTGATTTTCTACCCTTTCATCAGTAAGTAATGCTGAGGGTATTTTTTCCAGTCCTCTTTGTGTGTGTTGTTAAAGTAGTTTAAGATTTCTCACCAACTCTGATAGTCCAGAGACTGCCAAAACTAAACTGTCCTTCTTCTGGTATAGATCTTCTGAACTAAACCTGCTTGTGGCCCCTCTCCATGTGTTTGTCTTGAAGTTGTATACATCATAAAATCTCAAATTATTAAATGCTTCTGCAATATCACCAGTTGTTTTGGTTAAGTCACACAATTTCTTTGATATGCTGTTTTGACCCACTGCTTAAGAAAAGAAGTCTTTGACTTTTTGGGGGGAGAAGATAGTACACCTTCACAGAACTAAATAAACAAACAAAAAAGAACCCATTTACCTATATTTTAGAACCCAAGTTTCCAAATGTTTTATTATAAACCTTTATCACAACACAATAGAAATATCTATTAAACAAGAAAAACATGAATTATATTAAACTAGATCAAATGGAAGGTTAGAAATATTTCATTACAGGTATCATAAGAAAAACTGAATTCCTATTATTCCTTTTACCCAAACCTCAGCGAAGCATTACTCCTATCTCTGCACTAAGGTTTCTTGCTCAGACTCAAGCTGGTACAATGCAATTGCACCATGCAGTTGAGAATTAGAAGATGACCAATGATAGATCCTTGGAGAACATCTGAGCTATTGGTGTAGGAGCAAGATGTGAAACATTTCCAGATGATACTCTGGCTTTGGATAGATGGGTAAGAGTGGAACCAGGTGAGTGTATTCCTGCCAAACTGGGCAACAATAGACAGGCATTGGGATGAAAGGTGTTGTCCACCATGACAAGGGCTGCTTATTTTCAGAAAGGGTTAGGAGGAATACTTCAGCTTTGGTGAAATTACAAAGGATATAATCTGTGACTTTGACAAGAACCATTTTTAGCATTCTAGCTGAAGTGAAAATCTGAATTTGAGCAGCTCAAACATGAAGTTCCAGGAAAGATAAGTACAGATTTTTGAAGCACCAAGCCATTTAAAGACTCTAAGGAACTGTCAAGGAAGAATGTGGAAGAATTAATGTGGATGTGACCGAGCTGTTGATCTGCATTTTATTATGAGCACTTCTATCTGTTCTTTGCTAGTCAGCAATCTTCAATGTATTGTTCTACCCTTCTTTATAACATGTTTCATTCCCTGCAACATGAGCTTGTTCCCATTATTTAGTTTAAAACCCACTGTACCTCTCTTGTCATGTGATTCGTAAGAACTCTGGTGCCAGCACAGTTCAGGCACTATTCCTATGGTACAGCCGCCACTTTTTCTAGTACTGGTGTCAGTGCCCCATGAACCAGAATCCACTTCTCTCACAATAGTCTTTAAGTCATGTATTCATGTCTTTAATTTATTGTACTCTACAACAATTTACAGGTAATAATGCAGAGATTTTAACTTTTGATGTTCTGCTTTCTAATTTAGTCCCCAGCTCCTCATACCTACTATGCTAAACCTCTTTCCAGGATCTACTTCTGTCATTGGCACCTACATGAACTGTGACAACTGGATCCTCCACCTCCCACTGCAGGATCCTTGCCAGGCTTATGGAATTATCTGGATTATTACCCTTTGTTGTGACTGGCATATTTACAACTGCAATATTCCTTTAGTTAGAATATGAAGGAAGAAGTCTACAGGAGTCTGGTCAGTGAAAGGCAGTTAATCTTTTTGCAGTTCAAAATCATTGTCTATTGGGAAGTATGGGTGTTTTCCCAAGTTTTAAGCCACTGCATAGGAGTTGCAGGAAAGTTTGAGCTTATGCTGCGTAGTCCAGACATGTGAGGTGTTAATATCGGAGGGTTGCTTGGCCAAAAATGAATTGAAAGACCCCAAAGAAATCTTGTACCTTGGAGAGTAGCTGGCACTCTGAAGAGAAATCAATCAAAATTGGAAAGCAGTGATACACCATTGCTTTGGTCACAGAGCAGAAGTGAATGAACCTTCAAGATTTGTATAACATTTAACAGAGCTATTTGAGTTGGAGGAGAAAGTAAAAAAACAAAAGGAACTAGATTTGTACTTAAGTCTTTATAATTTCTTTTGTTTATTTAGAAATGATTCATTTCTTTAATTTCTAATCAATATAGAGTAATTTCTTTTCGTTCAAAAACAGGGCGTTTTGTGGAGTAGTTCTATTCATTGATCACTCTGCTTGGATTTCTCTTTAATATGTTAATTGAATTATAACACAACAGCAAACCACAACTCCTATTGCACACAATATGAAATTTAATCTTAAAGACATAACCATTTCTTGCATACTATAAGGCATGCAGTTGTTTTGGTACCGGAAAAGTTTCAGAGTAATCAACTAGGAAAAAAGTACCAAATATGAATCTGCCACTGCAGCTCCATTCTGTTAGCATGTCTTGTCAAAGGTGAACAGTAATAACCCCGTCCTTCCCCATTGGAATAACCTGATTCAAGAGGATATCATGTTTGTCCCAACCGTCTTGAATGATCTGTGTTTACAGAAGGTTAACAAATGGCCTCGTGTGCTATCAGACAGAATGACATTATTGACGAGTTTGTTAGAGTTCTTTGAATATCTATTGAGCATATAGTTAAAGGGGAACTGTTAGATGTAGTGCATTTGGATTTTCAAGAGGACTTCAGTGGGTGTCATATAAGCTAATAGTGTTGGGATAATATATTATGTTATTTGGATAGAGAATTGGAAGAGGTAGTCAGTTTCAGGTTAGAAAACTGTAACTTGAAAGTTGTCACAGGAATCAGTCCTAGATCTTCAACTGTTAATCATCTATATTGAGTATTCAGATGATGGGAACAAGCATATTGTTGCAGTTAAATGACATATTTCTCTTTGCAGTCGGCAAATATTATAAAGCTTAGCCTAATATCTATGGCCAGTGAAAAAATAATCCATTATAGTATTTTTTTGTCATGATCATAAAGTGCTCAGTCGTGCACTTTTCATAGCTGAGATGTTGGTATCATTGCTTACCACTGTGTGGATATTTGTGTCTGAATTACTTATGGTCATAAGGGTGAGAATTTTTTTTTCTTACTTGGGTTACCTACTATTCCTAATGCAATTTCAACTCTAGTAATATCCTACATTGTTGGAAAAAGTCAAGTTAAGAAGTTTGGAAGGACAGTGCCAGATTTCAGCATAAGCTAAGCAAGATACAGCTTAAGTCCTTCTATGATGAGGGTCCTTTAATTATAAAATGAAATAACATTTTGTATTTTTCATGATCGGTTGAATAAAAAGGAGAGGGGGTAAAAGGACTCTCTAAAAGGCGCATTTTTATTCCGATCAGGTTAAAATATATTTATATGGCTACACACTTATTATATGAAATTTCTTGGATATTAAACACAATTAGAAAGCTTTGACTTACTCCCAGCTTCCATTCAAGTAATGCAGTGCTCAAACTCCCAGGCTCCTCTGGTATCCATTGTTAAACACCAGAACATCAGCACATGTCAAAAACACCTCTGCAACATAGCCCCTTTCCCTTAACCTTCAACATTCACGAGATCCATTTAGACCCTTCAATCACCTAATAAAATTGATATAGCTTTTTCAAGACAGTAACAAATACAAAAGAAATAAAGCAAGGGATTGTGAATGCTGGCAATGTGAAACAAAAACAAAGTGCTGGAGAAACTCAGGCCTGGCAGCATGTGTAGAGAGAAGAACAGAGTGAACTGTATAGAGTCCGGTAACCCTTTGTCAGAAATGAAAGCAGCTGGGAAAGGGTAGTATTTATACCAAGTCGAATAGATGGAGATGGTGCCCTGAGAGAGAGAGAGAGAGATAAAGGAGAAACGATTGCCTGATGATAACCTTGGAGAGAGATAAATGCTGAATGGATGCTAACAAAGTGTGAATGGTTGAAATGCGTTGGCTGTGCAGGGAACAACACGTACAGAACAAGGCATAGGGGTGGGTAACAAACATGGAGGAAGGCATTCATGCTCTGAAATTGTGAAAATGTTGAGCCCTGAGGGCTGTAAAATACCTATATGGAAGATGAGGTCGTATTCCTCCAGGAATCAAGCTTCACTGGAGCACTGCAGCAGGCCTGAGACAGAAATTTTTGCATGAAAATATAGTGGTGTATTGAATTGGCAGGCAACTGCAAACTCAGCGTCATTTTTACGAGCAGAGTGGTGGTGTTTAGCAAAGTGATCACCCAGTCAGCGTTTTATCTCCCCAATGTAGTGGAGACCACATTGTGAGTTGTGAATACAGTAGACTAGATTGAATGCAGAACAGGTAACTTACTGCTTCACCAGGAAGTTGCATCAGTATTTTTTGAATTTTAAGATTTTTTTCCTTTCTGAAATGGTTTGTGTCGGCAGTCCTTCATTTGTGGTTCTACTTGTAAGCATAAAGGATTGAGTTTGAAGAATTGCATCTAGGGTTCATTTCTCATTATTCTAGAAAGGCTGTTAAATATGAGAGAGTTTTTTGAATGTAGATGTCAGAAAAGTAAAAGAAGTCGGAGCTTGTAGGGTGGTTTAAAATAAGTGGTGAAAGTTGATCAGACATAATCGTAACTTTGCTGTCCAAAAATCTTGAAAGAAAATGTTTTAAATTTTATGCAGGCTATATTGATGCTTCCAATTTATAAACATTAATCTGTGTAATAGTTCATGCTGCTGTAGATTATGATTTTTAAAATTTGCATTAATGGAAACTTTTAAAGTATTTTTATCTGAAAGTATTTTGTAATGCAAATAGGATTATTACAAGATATTTGCTTTAGTTATATTATTAGTTTTTCTTTACACCTTCACCTATGCAGTTATAACGCTTTGATATTTCTATTTTCATTGCCTATTCTGTTGCAATGTTACACTTTTTTGGTGTTGGTATGGGCCCTCTTCAGGTTGCGACATCTCAGGGCATTAGCATGTCATAATGGAACACTGCACATCATACGACTTTTGATGGCCATTGCCTGTTAAGAGAAGGTGAATCATAAATGATGACAGATGATTTTGGAGGAGAGATGGTGTCATTACATATTCAATATGTTATTTGAGGAGAGAGATAGTAGGAACTGCAGATGCTGAAAATCTGAGATAACAAGGTGTAGAGCTGGATGAACACAGCAGACCAAGCAGCATCATAGGAGCAGGAAGGCTGACCCTTCATCAGAAATGGGAATCAGAAATATCATATTATTTGAGGCTTCAGTTAATTTTCGCCATAATTATACCTTCGACATTCTGCCATTTTAATGTGCTATATTGCTGTGTATGCATGCTACAGGAGATAAATGAGTTTTCCAGATTTATGTACACTGTGTTGCCCTAATTCATCTTCCTTTCTGCTTAGTACCTCAGAACTTGGAATGCAATAGATTATTGCTGAACGGAGTGAACAGTTGAGCTGTTATGTCTAACAATGGGAATAGAAGCATAACAATGACTAACATTCAACATTCAACATGTTAATTAGCATTGTGTATGGAGTATCATATTATTAACCTTATAGCTGAAACAATGAATTATGGAAAAAGGATGATGCTATTATCTTTATTTTGAATATAGTGTGATTACACTTCTTAGGACCAAAGTCAAAAGCTCATATATATCAGTGATTTATGATGAAAAATAATATGGTTTCATGAGATAAATATAAAACTGGAATTTTACAATTGTAACATATCATTACTCTTAATTGAGTTCTTAAAAATTTTAATACCATGAAAACGTCCAAGTTAACTAAACTGACATACTTATCAGTAGCTGCATACAGTGAATTGTTTTGTGCCTTGGGTGGTCTAACCAAAAATGCGAATTTACTGATTGGTGACATTAATTCAGCGGCATGCACATATGGTATGCGCAAGTGTTGCTTCTTGTACGGGGCTCTTTTTCAAGATAAATCCAACCTGATTTACTAACATGAAAAAAATGTTACTTACTCCATCTGCCTTTCTTTGTTAACATTTACAGGTTAAACTCCAAAAGGAAACCCAGTGTTACTAGGTATGTGTATATGCATTTTATCTTTAATGTACCCAGTAATTCTGTCAGTATTGAGTGTACTACGATGATGGATGTTGTGCGCTATGACCTGACTAGTCAATAAACCATGCAATAGAATGATAGAATGTTCACAACTCCCCACATGGTGATTTATAGATCTCAGCCATTTCTTATACATGAACAGCCTCATTTAAGGTGTCGATAAAGAAAATCTCGATCGTTGAGGTTGATTTCATTCATAAAAAAGATTTCAAAAGAAAAATCACTAAATCCAAACCAAAACTAATCTACATCCTCTAGTTCAAACCAGATAATTTGTAAAATTTCTAGTATCCTTTGTAATGTTATTGCTGTAGCTTTTGTCAACTTTATGGCAAACTCACAAGTTTAAAAATTACTTGGATGAGCACTTAAAGTATCATAAAATTCAAGGCTATGGGCCTATTGTGGAAAAGTGGATAATGTAAGTAATAGTGTATTAATGTACGATTCTATGAAACTTGAGCTTCTGGAAGATGAAGCCTTGTTTGTCCTTCCAAAGATATTTTCCCTAGGTATCATTTATCCCAAATTACTTTTATTCCATTATTACAATACCACATGATATGTTGAATGATGAAATTTGAGCCAGTTGACTAAGGTGACACCTTGGCCAAGATTTTCCATTTTGGACTTAAAGTATGGCAGTGGATGTCTTAAATGACACCACGTCCATCAATGTCTGTGGTGAGTTGTCACATGCAATTCCATGCTTCTCATCTTCAGTATCTATGCAAGTGAGATGTTCAGGAAGTGACTTGCCAACTTGGGTGGCAGGAGAGGAGAACCCCTCACACTAAATAGCAAGGCAAGAGGAGGGCGAAGCACCTCAACCTCACTCCAAGTCCTGTTTCTTCAGGAGAAAGAATGCTGTTAGGAGCCACTCACAAAGAAGTGGCATAACGGATAGACACTCTTTGACAGCTTCTGAGGACACGACAGAGGTGCCCTATTCTTCCACCTTGCCTCTGTTAGTGACCCAGCTGCCTCCAGCAGTTGTGGTTTAGGAAGGTAAGCCTCTATCTGTGCAGAAAATCCTCAGCAGTCGGGGCTCTTTAGGTCTAGAAAACCCAGAGGGAATCCACCAAACTTGTCAAAGTCACCAATGAATACTAATCAGCAGGCTCCCTGCACCCCAACCACAGATATTGGACCCTACACCTGGATGTAGTGGGGAGAGGAAGGACAAACCTTCAAAAGGCACAAATGTTCAGTCTATTTGTATCATGATCAAGCAGAGAGCTGAGATCCAATTATGCAAATTAAAACATGACATGAAAAGAAAATGACTGCCCAGCTCAGTCATTCTGGAGCTGATAGTTATAAAATTGTCTCTGGATCGGTGGACTTGGCCCTCTGTTCATCTCTTTGGTGGGTATTCTAGTCCGGCACAGGATTCTTAACCTCATCCTCCTCCTCAGAGATTTGGTCTCACCATTATATCTCCTGCTCATCTAACACATCCTACTGTCCCCCTGCTACCTTTAGTGACTGTGATTGTAGAGGATACAGTACCACTACTGCTTTGTGGAAGACCTTGTTTGCGGTATACTTCATGGGACTGCCTGGTCAGACCTATTATTGGATCCTTATTTTCAGAAGGCCTATAGTCTGCACTACAGTGGTTCTGGTTGAAGTGTGGACACTCTTCTAACTCGTCTGCTTCGTAGAGGCGTTATCAGTGAGGTGTGATGTGGAGGTGCCAGTGTTAAACTGGATTAGACTAGGTTAAAAGTCACATGATGCCAGGTTATAGTGCCACAGGTTTATTTGAAAACACTATCTTTTGGAGCATTACTCCTTCATCAGGTGTAGTGAGAGAGGCATCAAAACACGGAATTTATAACGAAAAGATCAAAGAACTAATGTGAAATGTATTGAATAAACCTAAAATGACTGGCTGACTCCCTCCTGTTAAATCTTTAATTTAGAAAGGAGATGCGGGTTTGATCGATTAAAATGCAAATCCAAGAATTTCTTTCAAGTCACTGCCCCGAGAAGGTTTTATGGGATCATAACAATGCATTTTAGGTG